TACAAACTAAAATAAAGTTGAAGCACTCAAACGTCACGAATTAAAATAAGTTAAACAAAATAAAATCCGTAAAGTTTGTTTTATTAAATGTGTAGTATTCGTGTAATAAATCAGTCAAAATTCATTGAATTCTAAATACTGCGTACAGGTAGCTTGGTCATTTAGAGGAATTGGTGTTAATGGTGCTTGTAGGTTTTCTTGAAGTACTCAGATATTTTCGTCTTCTGGTTGTAGTTGGTTATGCTTTTTCCATTCTGCCTTTTTTTATTGCCTTATCAGAAAGGTGAGGACATAACAGTCAACTAAGTCTTTATGAGCTCTTTCAAATGAGTTCAAACACGACCGTTCTATCTAGTACCGCCACTGGGATCCTATATCCACCTTTCGGATTACACCATCAGAAAGGTGAGGTCATAACAGTCACCTAGGTCTTTATGAGCCCTTTCAAATGAGTTCAAACACGATCGTTCTATCTAGTGCCGCCACTGAGATCCTATATCCACCTTCGGATTGCACCATCAGAAAGGTAGGATCATAACAGTCACCTAAATCTTTAGGAGCCCTTTCAAATGAGTTCAAACACGACCGTTCTATCTAGTGCCGCCACTGAGATCCTATATCCACCTTCGGATTGCACCATCAGAAAGGTGAGATCATAACAGTCCTCTAGGTCTTTATGAGCACTTTCAAATGAGTTCAAACACGACCGTTCTATCTAGTGCCGCCACTGAGATCCTATATCCACCTTCGGACTGCACCATCAGAAAAGTGAGGTCATAACAGTCATCTAGGTCTTTATGAGCCCTTTCAAATGAGTTCAAACACGACCGTTCTATCTAGTGTCGTCACTGAGATCCTATACCCACCTTCGGATAGCACCAACATAAAGGTGATATCATCGCAGTCATCTAGGTCTCCATTTACCTATTTGAAAATGAGTCCAAACACGATGGTTCTACGTAGTAGCATCACTGAGATCCTTTACCCACCTTCTGAGTCCACCATAAGGAAGGTGACATCATTACCATCACCTTGGTCTCCATCCTCTGTCAAACCAACTTCTCTAAATATATATGACGGCTCCGTGGCGCAGTGGCTTAGCAATGTATTGCGGCGCGTGTTCGAATCCCGCACGGAACAAGTATTTGTATGGCCTACAAATGATTGTTCCGGGTCTGGATGTTTGTCCTTGTGCAATTTGTGTTTGTAAACTGCCTCCACGATATAGGAGAATATCCTAGTATGGGGATAACGTTTTTTTAATAAAAAAAAATAATATAAAATCTTAAAACATGTTATAAAAAATTATAAAATATATATAAAAGCTACTAAGAAAGTATGTACTTACCAATAATGGAAACGAACTGAAGCCGCGGATTACGGTGCGCCCGGAAAAATACGTGGGTTGCCGTCAGTTAAAAATTTTAACTTAAGATTTCACATTCACGATCAGTTTTTGGATGTACGTCAGTTCAACGGAGCAGTTTAACTGACAGCACGCCCGAATAAAATCCGTGTGTTACCTTCAGTTAAAAATTTCAACTTAAGATTTCACATTCACGGTCAGTTTTTGGATGTACGTCAGTTAAACTGAACAGTTTAACTGACCGTGAGTGGGGACCATAACGCGAAACCGCGTTAGTTCACGCAGCGACGCGTCAGTGCGCAACGTCATGTTTTACGGAGAAGAGCTCGCGAAAAATTGTAAAAATGACCGTTTTTGTTGTAAAATATTGTCACAACAGTGATGATAAACATAAAAGAAGTAATGGTACTGCATTTCACATACAAGTTTATATATTTAATTTATTATAACTACGTAAAACTAAAAAAAATACTTACCTAAGCTATCCTAATAAAAATGTTGCTAGTTGTGGGGAAAAATCACAATTTTCTTTTAAAAATATTTATTTTCTATTTGTGTTTAAAACGTTTAATCGCAAAGCTCTGTGTAAAACTCAAATGTTTATATATAGATACCTACTTCTCTAAGTATTAACATAATATTAACAATGGGTGGCTATTTAAAACTAATACGGAGTGATCAGCTAATCGCGATTCGCCGACGCCATTTTAACGCAACTATTTTAATTGCTTTGTTTATTGACTAAGTCTACGTTTTAGAGTATAGAATAAAAACTTTTCTATTTACAACATCAAGATATTATTAATAAGAATGCCTTTACTAACCAGATGTCACTTTACACCCAAACATTAACCAGATGTTATTTTAGACCCAAACATAGTCTATTTTAACCGACTCCCAAAAAGGAGTGGTTATAAATATGTATGTACACTGATTTCTAAGACAATTCTATATTTACTAGTTTATGTCGTATCGCTACGCTTGATAGTTCATGTTCTGAACATTTATTAGTGGCCCTTCACTGTGTTCATACATCCAGCGAATTTTTTTTCAGACTTTATTATAGTAATACGGTATAAGCTAGCCTGCACGCCCGACCTACTTGCGAGATATTGCTATTGGTTTGAGATCGCATTCGAGTTTTGTTTTCTCGATTGTAAATCTGCCATTTTTGCATCCTAATTTTAATAAAATAATTACTACCAAGACAAAATAATTTGACATCGGGAAAACAACCATTAAAATTTCAGCGTGTATATTGGATCAATCTGTGTGTATATCCTTTCAAATAAAAAATCTAAATCGGTTTAGAAATTGTAGAATGCTGCGGTAAAAAATATTTTAAAAAATACACCGAATTGAAAACCTCTTCCTTTTTTGAAGTTGGTTAAAATTAAATATTACACTATGTGCTTATTGTATTCGAGCAAATTAATTGTTTTTAATAATATTCTTAAATTTTATTACGTCTGTATTTTTGTACCATTAAAATATGTATAATTAAGTTATATTAGTATTTATTTTATTCCATTTTATATTCTCATAAAATATATCTTCGTACGTAATACGTAATCTTTATTATATCGATTATTTAAAATTAATCAATAAAATAGTAATTTGCATAATTTGATTGCAAACCCCAGAAACTGGTATCACTGAAAGGCGTGTATGTGTGCGTGTGACGAGCGTAGACACATTCGACTCGCGCCCACTAATCATTTTAACGCTCGTGTTTTGTACTAGACTACGTTTCTACTGGGTAATAATTCTATGGTCAAAACGTATTTAAACAGACGTTGCAGTTTATGTAAAGTATACGTCCATTTTTTACTGACGGCGGCATTGTCAAGACAACGGTATTACAACGGTATGGTAAGCGAAGGTCATCAAATGAGGAAGATGTCGAGGTCCAAGGGCGGTATATAGGGTTGTAAAAAGAAGTAACACAAACAAAATGGCACAGTACACAACGCGACGCAAACGTAACAACGAAGAACTGCGCCGATGCCAATTGCAGAACTGTCAAATCTCAAAAAAAAATCCGTTTCATTCGACCGCACTCGACGACATACTGAATGATTAATTTATTTTATTATTATATTATTTTATATTAATATGTACTATTCAAATACAAATAAATAAATACTTACTGATTAAATGAAACATAAAAAAATGTCAAAAACTCAGAAACAGAGTTAAATAAAGTAAAGTAGCAGTGTATAAAATGGAACGTCCTAGAAATAGGGAAGTTGAGATGCGTTCAAAATATATAATACATTTACCCTTGACGTAGAATAAGCTTATAGAAATATGTAAATACTTTTTTTTCCTGCGTTTCTTTTAACATTGTGATAAGCGTAATTAATTTACAATTTAAATAGCTGAATTTTAAGATTTATTTCATATCTATACATTGTCAGGTGAAAAATGGGCATTGTTCTTTGTAAACCAACACTTCCATTTCAGTATAGTTTGAATAAACAGTATTAGCAGTAACAGAGATTTAAAATGTTAAATTTTTGTCAGGATTCAAAAACAGAAACTTGTAGTTTGGTTTTATGTAATAAAGCAAGAATGAATAGGCGAATTTTCGCGCTGTGTCCACTGACCTCTATATATGGACTGGCTATACACGTGACATAATGACGCGATTTGATTTTTGCCATTTTCTCTCTGACAGCAGAAGTGAACGTCCAAGGAACTAATAATAGAGATAAGACAGTGTGACAAAACATATCGATAAAAATTCTATACCCAGGCCTACCCGTAAAGTCCATTCTACTTACCTAGTCAGGTCATAAGTATTGTCACACAGTAAAAACTTTTCTTTTAGATTGCTGGCCACAAAAAAGTTTATTGAATTCGAATTTCGAATTTTTCATAAAAATAAAACTGCATATTTTTTAAAATTTTACTTATTTTTAAATATGGAGTGGACGCTTAAAGAAGACCGTGTTGCAGTTATTGCGTTGCATCGTTGCGGTTACGCGCCAATTCAAATTTTTGACATACTGAAAAATTTGAATATAACCAAAAGATTCGTTTATCCTACCATCAAACGATACAATGAAGACTCTAGTGTAGATGACAGGTCAAGAAGTGGTCGCCCTCGGTCTGTTAGGACTCCAGCAGTGATAAAAGCTGTGAAGGCCCGAATTCAAAGAAATCCCAAACGTAAGCAGAAACTTTTGGCCCTTCAGATGGGGTTAAGCAGAACCACGGTGAAAAGGGTGTTAAATGAAGACTTACTTAGGGCTTTGGGCATATCGAAGAAAAACAGGACATCGTTTGAATGCTCGTCTAATGGACCTGAGACTGAAGAGATGCCGCGCTTTGTTGAAGAGTTCGCGGGAAAAAAATATCGGGAAATTCTTTTTTCGGATGAAAAAATTTTACCGTAGAAGAGAGCTACAACAAACAAAATGATAAGGTGTTCGCACACAGTAGTGAAGAAGCGAGCAACCGTATTCCGCGTGTCCAAAGAGGTCATTTTCCATCCTCGCTCATGTTATGGTTGGGAGTTTCTTATTGGGGCTTAACAGAGGTACATTTTTGTGAGAAAGGTGTAAAAACGAATGCAGTTGTGTATCAAAATACAGTCCTGACGAACCTTGTGGAACCTGTTTCTCATACCATGTTCAATAACAGGCACTGGGTATTCCAACAAGATTCGGCGCCAGCTCATGGAGCGAAGAGCACACAAGACTGGCTGGCGGCGCGTGAAATCGACTTCATCCGGCACGAAAACTGGCCCTCCTCCAGTCCAGAATTGAATCCGTTAGATTACAAGATATGGCAACACTTGGAGGAAAAGGCGTGCTCAAAGCCTCATCCCAATTTGGAGTCACTCAAGACATCCTTGATTAAGGCAGCCGCCGATATTGACATGGACCTCGTTCGTGCTGCGATAGACGACTGGCCGCGCAGATTGAAGGCCTGTATTCAAAATAACGGAGGTCATTTTGAATAAACTTTAGTGTCATAAGAATCTATGTTTTGCTCAGTGAATAAAGGCTATGCTCGGAGTTGCTCAGCATGATAGACTTTGTCATAATATACGCAGTAGAATCAGTGTAACCGACATAGCATAATCGATCAGTTAGCTAAATTAGTGGTAAAGAGTAGTTAGTCTAGTATATTTTTATAGGATAGGGTGACAAACGAGCACACAGTCCACCTGATGGTAAGTGATTGCTGTGGCCCATAGATATTTACATATATCTTCCTTTGCGAATTAAAATGCAGATGCGTTGTCAGCCGTGAGGACTAAGATAGAATGCCTCTATTCCAGTAAAATAGGTCTCCGGTTCGCTACACTCACCATACGAATTCTGATTTTATTGCTATACAATTTCATTGCTATCAATCAATTGAGTTTTTTTTATAACTCTTTATGTATTCATGTAAATTGATATCATTCCATTTATATTGATAAAATCTGTGCAAATTATTAACACACAGAAGCAATTAGTAAAATCTTTTATTTATATTAATACAGAAAAATATTATTTTTAATAAACTTTAAAATTTTGATATTTCATTTTGATATTTCATTTTGATATTTTATTATAAAATTTTAATAGACAATTTATTTGTTTACTAAAATCTATAATAATATGTCTATATATAAGTTGAAGGCATAAGGGGGAATATGCCACTTTTTTTCTTCAATTACTAACCTCTAATTAACGAGCGAATTTCTGTTGATACACTGATCTAGAAATAAATCCAATCCAAATCTAAAACCGCTGAACACAAACTGTTATATTAGTAAGAGGATAATACATCTTTCTATGTTTCGAAAAGTGTTTAAAAACACTATTTCACTATTATGCTTGCCGTTAAACGTACATATATGTGATGTGGTGATAAAGAATCATGCCCACTTTCCATACATTTAAAAACCTGATAGTGAAAGTTTATGTACAATATAATCATTTAGTCATTTTTACGATTTAAACGCAACGAATCCCAAAAAATACTAATGTCACTTTTTAGGTTAGGATTTGCCGTAACCAAATAGGTAATAAAGAAATAAACGTGCTTTAACTTATTATTAACGCTATATAGCTAGATAGCAATACTTACCCAGTTATGGTCTAAAACGTCTTTTTTACTTTGTGAATTTCTTAAAAACAACTGCCTCTAAGTCACCGCTTACTCTCGATGATTGTCACCATAAATTGAGTGTCTAGCACTATCTGCTATTTCTTCAGCACACATAAATACTTACTAACTATATTTAGTTCATCTTGTATTGTCAAAATGATCACTTATCAACCAAACACATTTCATTGGCCTATGGTACATACTTACATACATACCTGACGAACAAAATGGGAAAAACAAATAAAACACTATGTTAAAGTGGAATGGTTTATTAATTATCATCATTTTCACTTAAATCTCTCACCACTATGTCATCCAGAAATTCTGCTGGAGCAGAAATATTTTCTTGATACCTAGCCCATCCAAGGTACAACGTCCAATGTAAAAACCATAGAATTATTACGCATAGAATACTAGTACGCGCACGGAAAGTGAAACAAGTTAAACTAACGCGAAACCGCGTTAGTTCACGCAGCGACGCGTCAGTGCGCAACGTCATGTTTTACGGAGAAGAGCTCGCGAAAAATTGTAAAAATGACCGTTTTTGTTGTAAAATATTGTCACAACAGTGATGATAAACATAAAAGAAGTAATGGTACTGCATTTCACATACAAGTTTATATATTTAATTTATTATAACTACGTAAAACTAAAAAAAATACTTACCTAAGCTATCCTAATAAAAATGTTGCTAGTTGTGGGGAAAAATCACAATTTTCTTTTAAAAATATTTATTTTCTATTTGTGTTTAAAACGTTTAATCGCAAAGCTCTGTGTAAAACTCAAATGTTTATATATAGATACCTACTTCTCTAAGTATTAACATAATATTAACAATGGGTGGCTATTTAAAACTAATACGGAGTGATCAGCTAATCGCGATTCGCCGACGCCATTTTAACGCAACTATTTTAATTGCTTTGTTTATTGACTAAGTCTACGTTTTAGAGTATAGAATAAAAACTTTTCTATTTACAACATCAAGATATTATTAATAAGAATGCCTTTACTAACCAGATGTCACTTTACACCCAAACATTAACCAGATGTTATTTTAGACCCAAACATAGTCTATTTTAACCGACTCCCAAAAAGGAGTGGTTATAAATATGTATGTACACTGATTTCTAAGACAATTCTATATTTACTAGTTTATGTCGTATCGCTACGCTTGATAGTTCATGTTCTGAACATTTATTAGTGGCCCTTCACTGTGTTCATACATCCAGCGAATTTTTTTTCAGACTTTATTATAGTAATACGGTATAAGCTAGCCTGCACGCCCGACCTACTTGCGAGATATTGCTATTGGTTTGAGATCGCATTCGAGTTTTGTTTTCTCGATTGTAAATCTGCCATTTTTGCATCCTAATTTTAATAAAATAATTACTACCAAGACAAAATAATTTGACATCGGGAAAACAACCATTAAAATTTCAGCGTGTATATTGGATCAATCTGTGTGTATATCCTTTCAAATAAAAAATCTAAATCGGTTTAGAAATTGTAGAATGCTGCGGTAAAAAATATTTTAAAAAATACACCGAATTGAAAACCTCTTCCTTTTTTGAAGTTGGTTAAAATTAAATATTACACTATGTGCTTATTGTATTCGAGCAAATTAATTGTTTTTAATAATATTCTTAAATTTTATTACGTCTGTATTTTTGTACCATTAAAATATGTATAATTAAGTTATATTAGTATTTATTTTATTCCATTTTATATTCTCATAAAATATATCTTCGTACGTAATACGTAATCTTTATTATATCGATTATTTAAAATTAATCAATAAAATAGTAATTTGCATAATTTGATTGCAAACCCCAGAAACTGGTATCACTGAAAGGCGTGTATGTGTGCGTGTGACGAGCGTAGACACATTCGACTCGCGCCCACTAATCATTTTAACGCTCGTGTTTTGTACTAGACTACGTTTCTACTGGGTAATAATTCTATGGTCAAAACGTATTTAAACAGACGTTGCAGTTTATGTAAAGTATACGTCCATTTTTTACTGACGGCGGCATTGTCAAGACAACGGTATTACAACGGTATGGTAAGCGAAGGTCATCAAATGAGGAAGATGTCGAGGTCCAAGGGCGGTATATAGGGTTGTAAAAAGAAGTAACACAAACAAAATGGCACAGTACACAACGCGACGCAAACGTAACAACGAAGAACTGCGCCGATGCCAATTGCAGAACTGTCAAATCTCAAAAAAAAATCCGTTTCATTCGACCGCACTCGACGACATACTGAATGATTAATTTATTTTATTATTATATTATTTTATATTAATATGTACTATTCAAATACAAATAAATAAATACTTACTGATTAAATGAAACATAAAAAAATGTCAAAAACTCAGAAACAGAGTTAAATAAAGTAAAGTAGCAGTGTATAAAATGGAACGTCCTAGAAATAGGGAAGTTGAGATGCGTTCAAAATATATAATACATTTACCCTTGACGTAGAATAAGCTTATAGAAATATGTAAATACTTTTTTTTCCTGCGTTTCTTTTAACATTGTGATAAGCGTAATTAATTTACAATTTAAATAGCTGAATTTTAAGATTTATTTCATATCTATACATTGTCAGGTGAAAAATGGGCATTGTTCTTTGTAAACCAACACTTCCATTTCAGTATAGTTTGAATAAACAGTATTAGCAGTAACAGAGATTTAAAATGTTAAATTTTTGTCAGGATTCAAAAACAGAAACTTGTAGTTTGGTTTTATGTAATAAAGCAAGAATGAATAGGCGAATTTTCACGCTGTGTCCACTGACCTCTATATATGGACTGGCTATACACGTGACATAATGACGCGATTTGATTTTCGCCATTTTCTCTCTGACAGCAGAAGTGAACGTCCAAGGAACTAATAATAGAGATAAGACAGTGTGACAAAACATATCGATAAAAATTCTATACCCAGGCCTACCCGTAAAGTCCATTCTACTTACCTAGTCAGGTCATAAGTATTGTCACACAGTAAAAACTTTTCTTTTAGATTGCTGGCCACAAAAAAGTTTATTGAATTCGAATTTCGAATTTTTCATAAAAATAAAACTGCATATTTTTTAAAATTTTACTTATTTTTAAATATGGAGTGGACGCTTAAAGAAGACCGTGTTGCAGTTATTGCGTTGCATCGTTGCGGTTACGCGCCAATTCAAATTTTTGACATACTGAAAAATTTGAATATAACCAAAAGATTCGTTTATCCTACCATCAAACGATACAATGAAGACTCTAGTGTAGATGACAGGTCAAGAAGTGGTCGCCCTCGGTCTGTTAGGACTCCAGCAGTGATAAAAGCTGTGAAGGCCCGAATTCAAAGAAATCCCAAACGTAAGCAGAAACTTTTGGCCCTTCAGATGGGGTTAAGCAGAACCACGGTGAAAAGGGTGTTAAATGAAGACTTACTTAGGGCTTTGGGCATATCGAAGAAAAACAGGACATCGTTTGAATGCTCGTCTAATGGACCTGAGACTGAAGAGATGCCGCGCTTTGTTGAAGAGTTCGCGGGAAAAAAATATCGGGAAATTCTTTTTTCGGATGAAAAAATTTTACCGTAGAAGAGAGCTACAACAAACAAAATGATAAGGTGTTCGCACACAGTAGTGAAGAAGCGAGCAACCGTATTCCGCGTGTCCAAAGAGGTCATTTTCCATCCTCGCTCATGTTATGGTTGGGAGTTTCTTATTGGGGCTTAACAGAGGTACATTTTTGTGAGAAAGGTGTAAAAACGAATGCAGTTGTGTATCAAAATACAGTCTTGACGAACCTTGTGGAACCTGTTTCTCATACCATGTTCAATAACAGGCACTGGGTATTCCAACAAGATTCGGCGCCAGCTCATGGAGCGAAGAGCACACAAGACTGGCTGGCGGCGCGTGAAATCGACTTCATCCGGCACGAAAACTGGCCCTCCTCCAGTCCAGAATTGAATCCGTTAGATTACAAGATATGGCAACACTTGGAGGAAAAGGCGTGCTCAAAGCCTCATCCCAATTTGGAGTCACTCAAGACATCCTTGATTAAGGCAGCCGCCGATATTGACATGGACCTCGTTCGTGCTGCGATAGACGACTGGCCGCGCAGATTGAAGGCCTGTATTCAAAATAACGGAGGTCATTTTGAATAAACTTTAGTGTCATAAGAATCTATGTTTTGTTAAGTTCATTTTGGTATATAAATGGTTACATAATGAATAAACTTGTTTCAATTATTTTATATTAAACATGTGACAGAATTTATGACCTGACTAGGTATAAATCATATTAATATATGTAATGTCATACAATTAATAAACGTATCAATTAATACCTAGACCTTAGACGCAAGCTTTATACCTCATATAACACCAAGATCGACGCTGCGTTGGTCTATCTACGTTTTTATTCGTAGCTACAGAACGGAATTCGTTCCGAGTTTCAAATGAGGAAATGCCTACGCATACCCGCTTCGCGGGGGCAATAGAGGATTATGTTGGACTTGTACCTACTAAAACCCCATGCTGTTCCACATTCGCCGCACATTGGCAGGGCCACTGAAACGCTTTCAAACACATCCGCGTCTCCACCAGCGCCAGCCGTCCAATAGTAGCCCCTCCTTAGTTGAGGACTTCTCCTCCCCCTTTTCTTCTCAGATAAGGCACACCAGGAACACAAGGCACACTGCCCTTCGCGGCCTTCAACTCCACCTGCACAACAGACTCCCCCAGCACCAAGTGGTGTAGCTCGCAAAGTCGCGGAGGATAGTCGAGTGGCGCATTGCTGCATTGATATAGGGAAAGGACTCTCCTCTAGCCGCAGCCCACTATCACAAATGTAAGGGCTCGACAAGCCCACTCAGAGTGGCTACCTTGGGCCAGCCCTTCACTTCGGGTCTGCTATGTGAGTCGCTCTACGTTTACCATGGGTTACTAAGCCACACCTACTAAACCCGCCCACAATTTTTCGCCTTTCGTCATTACATATATTAAAATTTTTGTTTAAGGTCTTCGCATGTTTGGCATTAGACTTCCTTTTAGTAGGACTAGGAATGTCTATAAGCTTTGTCACCGTGGTCCTACCAGAAGTGATGGATGCCAAAGAGGGGCTTTCCATCAACAAGGAGCAAGCGTCGTGGTTTGGTATGTCGCATTTTATTAAGTTAGTTAATTACAGTCTCAATACGTCCCAATTTTGGACACAAGCCTCCTTTTATTTTGAGAGGAGGAAAAGAGGAGCACTTAGCTGTTCCAATGTCTGTAGACTGGCTTCACGTGTCCTCAAGATATTTTATTTCTTAGACATGTAGTTTTCCTCATTATGTTTATCTACATGTTGTGGTAAAGCAGCACTTTAAATTGTAATTAAAAATTTCATTGGTGCCATTGGAAATCAAAGGCGTATTGCTCGCCTACTATAAAATTTAAAGCGAGCGATATAGGCGATTTCATGATGATATTTGTCACTGTTGTCAGTAGATTGAGAGCTGGCGACGAATTTCGGGAACGTCCTTTTGGCAGTTTGAAATTGTGAAAAATATAATTTCATCAATTGGCGAAACCAATCTCACGAGTCTGGCAGACCGTTTGCGGTTATTTCGTTACTGGGTAGCATTTAATCAATCGTTCAAATAGTTCAAAAGTCATCTATATCTGTACCACATCACTGTGAAAAAAGTTACGGCTGTAGAGAACGTGCAGCTTGTTTTTTTTTCCACCTTCATCTCTGGGCGGTAAGCATTTCATACATATTGTCCTTTTTTAAAATAATGTGGTAATTTGCCAAGGTTACTATTATTACGAGGTTAAAATTAACAGCTATTATACAAATTATTACATCACTGATTAAAAATAATTCAAACTATATACACAGATATTTACATTGCCATATATGCGCATACATACGTGCTAAATCCCAAAACAAGAATTTAATCTTAAAATCTGTAAAAAAGATATTTCTTAATAACCAACCACAGCGTGAGGAGCTTAGGCTCACATCCGCTGTCGGCATGCTTCGATAAGCTATCTTTCACGCACTTATGACTATGCATAAGACTTTTTTGTCGTATTAATTTGTAAACTTTGTTCACGTCTGGGAATTATTTAAAAATGCTAAATTCGTCTGGGGATTTGCAGGTATTATTAAAAGTTACTCAATAAATACGATTAAAATTTGAGTTTGCCAAAAGTATATTTTTTGGGATATGTATAAAATAATTTTGGAGAGGTCTACTTTATACCGACAAAAACGTCTGGGATTTTTTTTTGAATTATATAAAAACTAAATTAAAAGACAAAAACGAAAAATCAAGTTGCCAAAAAACATTTTCTTTAATTTTTTTTTGCAAATGTTATATGCTGCGCAGTAACGAAATAACCGCAAACGCTCTGCCAGACTCGCGGGACTGGATTCGCCAATTGACGAAATTATATTTTGTCACAATTTCAAACTGCCAAAAGGACGTTCCCAAAATTCGTCGCCTGCTCTCAGATTACAGTGACAAATATCATCGAATAATATGTCGGGTATTCGTATACTCGGATCGGTGATGGGGCAGCAATTTAAAAAGCGCGATGATCTCAAATCTGTCTATCAGGTAATTATTTGCAGATGAAACTGCAACAATCAGTTCTAATTACTGCAGCCTATGGACGACGAATAATCGATATTGCACTTCAACACAATAAATAAGACTATAATTATTGTTGCGTTGGATTAATACTAAATTTACATAAATGAAATGATAGAGGTTTGCAATGCACGCATCTCGGAAAAAAAACTGGACATATTTAAATTAGGTTTTCTAAGTTTTATTTCTTAGAAACTTGGCTCTTATCTAAAAGAAAAAAATATTGCGATTTCTTCATTTAACATTTCATTTAACAGTTATTAAAGTTTTAAGAAATACCGATATCTATACATATAATAAATCTGTAGAAAAGTCGTGTCTGTAATCCTAATATATTCTTGAAAAAACAAGTCTAGGGGACTAAATAAAGAGTTCTGAAGCGAAATTAGTGGTTTTTAGAATTTTTGTCTGTCTGTCTGTCTGTCTGTCTTTCTGCCTGTCTGTCTGTCTGTCTGTGTATTCCGGATTCACGCAAAAACTACTGAACCGATTTACATGAAATTTTGTATGTATGTAGTCAGTAACCCCGGGCAACTTATAGGCTACTTTTTATCCGATTACGGAACTTCAAAAAAAGAAGGTTGAGTATTTTATTTCCTTTAGATGTTAATTTTCTATTATATCTTAGTTATATAGGATGACGGGTGTTTTTCAAATAAATACCATAAAGTTTAAAATATAGTTATAACCTTGGTAAAATAATTTGAAACTACACCACTTTATTTATCAAAACAGCGCCATCTATCATCAAATGGATAAAGTAGTATGTTTTGCCTGCAGTTAATAATAAGTTAAATAATATAAATAACTTACATTTATATGATTAAACGATTAGATATTTAAAATTATTAAAAAATTCTAACGTTTAGTTTTTTTAGTAGTTTTATTATTTTATTTTAAAAGTGTAATAATTTCAATAGATAATAGTAAGTCTATCAAAAATATGAAAATTGATAAGGTTTATATTTGAATTACTAATATATATGTAAAGTGATTAAAACTGGTGTGTCTGCGTTTGTTGCAAAATTTTCATTATCATTTTTATCATAAAGAGATTTTTATGTATGTCGTGGCCAGATCGTAGAATTGTTCATATATCATAAAGTATTCTATCATTTCGTGAAATGGTGTGGACATTTCATGATATTTAATACTCTTTGTTGACCATGTCATGATATAGCTTGACCAAATCAATGAATAGAAATCGTTTGAAGACATTAATAACTAAACATAACGTTGCTATTTCATGATATGGTCATAATATGATGATATAATTAAATCGTTTTTCACCGCTAGCGGCGCTGATAGCGTATTCTTTAACAGAAACATAACTTTTAACAGAATTGACATGACTTTATGCCTTATTGATATAATAAATAAATGTTCGCTTCTATCGCCGATATTACTAGATAGTATAGTTTTGGCTTTCATTAGTTCATATAATAATAGCACCGTCTAATTACTTCTAAATATACTAAAATGGCAAGTCACTGATAAAATGAAATAATACAATGCTACAGAATACACGATGTAAATAATTGAATCATTTACATAACATTCATCCCGCGTTGGAATCAGCGCAGCGAACACTTTTTTGGCCAAATACTCTGCGGCCTGTGCCCAGTAGTAACATGTACGAGTATGTAAGCTGCTACTTTTTTACTTGCTATGGAGCAATATATGCAGTTTTTATTACATTTATTTTTCGGGTATGTTACTTTTTTGTTCTCTACCGTTAATATTAAGGGTTGCAAGAATGAGTAGAACGCATTATAGTCAGCCTATCAAAAGTCCATTGAAATGAACATAGGCTTCCCCCATAAATTATCAAGTAGCTGAATATTTGCTATAGTTGTGGTTGCGGTAGGCGGGTTGGCAACCACAGCTATTATTATTTTGATCTGTTGTCAGGAAGATGATGCTGCCCATCTCCTGTCTGTTTTTCTATGCCGCCTCTTACGATATGATTCTCTTTAGGTGGAATAATTTTAAGGACTTCGCGTTTAATTTTAACTTTTTAATTCCCGATGTTTTGGGCACTTTATAGCACCCATGGTCCACGGAAGAACTGAGGTGTTTGACGACCTGATGTCATAGTTATAACAGAATAGAATAGAGTAGAATAAATGCAGTAGTATGCTTGGGTTTGAATTTAATTTTATTAATTATGGGGTCCTTAGCAGATGGTAGCACTCAGCCATTTCCCATATTAAAATTAGGATATTTTGAATTTCAATATCATCGCGTTTCATCATTGGTAGGAATTGGTGCTCTATTGCAAGGATTTGTTGTCTATCAGATCTGATATAATGGTTGGAACGATACTAAACATGTTGATATACTTTAGACTTCCCGGAACGTCGGTGCTTCACATCAACAATATGTTCTTTTTGAACTTTCATCCAAGATGCGCAAAAAACCCGTGACATTGGTTTTAATCCATGTGTAGTAGGTATTCATTATTATAGAATATATATTTAGAAAATTTTCTATATTTATATATATAAAATTTCTATATATTTAGGAAATTTATTTTTATATATTTATAAAAAAATATATTTTTAAATATTTAGGAAATTTTGAGGTCTACTCAAAGTAAAAAAAAAATATCTACATCTATTTTATGGTGCCAATCAATATTAAATAGGACCAATGATATCAATAAAATATCTCAAATAAACGTTATATTATTTTGTTAAAACTAAATTAACTTTAATTATGAATAAATTAAAAGAGTCAAATGTAAACAATAATAATAAATTTTGATTCCAAGACTATTTACTATTTTCTTATAGATACATCGGAAGATGCGCCCGATATAAAACATAGTAGGTGTTTCTAGACATATATATTCACGTGTTCCTGTAGGATGTTAGGTAACAATCATCTACGTCTAATAGTCTTTTAGAATTCAAAAAAAATCTTTGACAGACATAGAGACACAGACACCGAGATGACTCTAAATGTGATCGAATTTTCCTAAGTTTGCCACGGGACAGCATTTAATGATGTTCGTAAATTCAAGCTCACGCGAGCGAAGCCGCGGGTAAAAGCTAGTATATATATATATATATATATATATCGAAAACTTTGTTAATATATCAAGCAACACGAATGAAGTCGTGAGTCGTGGGTATCAGCTAGTTCTGGTTAATACATCATTATTGGCTTCAAATATATACACGGAAATAAATGTTTATGGTTGGTAAAGGCAACATATTGAATCCTACAATATCGTAGGCACACACTCCTCAAACGTCGATGGTATTATTCTATTATTTATAAAATATTACTTGCACAGAAAAGTCAATGTTAATTATATTTTTATTATCGCAATTATTAATTGCCGCAAAGGCCAATCATCCATTTTTGCTTAATCAAAGGCTTATTATCCATACTTCTGAAGTTCATAATATTACAGATAGCGAAAGCAAATCGTGAGTAATGAAGTTATACTTGTTACTTCTATTTTGCGTTTGTCAAATTTAATATTTTTTTAATTAAAGAAAAGTA